GATTGGCCAAAATTTTGTTGAGAAGTTTTGCATCAATATTCATCAAAGAGATGGGTCTATAGTTCTCTTTCTTTGATGAGTCTCTGCCTGGTTTCCTAAGAGATCCTTAAATAGACTGAAGTTGTTTTAAGTTTTTGGCTAAGAAATGCAACTATAGGCAGTCCTGAGCTGGTACAGCAAGCAGATCAACATAGTGATTAAGGACTATAATCTTTGATATTTCCATTCTGTTCTCTGTAGACTGCTAATTTAATTCTTGGGCTTATTCCAGTCATTGTATCTGCTTTCTAGGCTGGAACAAGGTAAAAGAGTTAAAGACAAAGTGTCCTTCCTATTTTATGTGTGAGATCATATGTTCTTTTATCATGTGTCCTCAAGCAAAATTATGTTACATGTTATTCTTCTGCAAGGGAGGTGAACAGTGAGGTTTTAATTAGTAGTGAGAAAGGGGAAGATCAGAAGCAGTGACTGTCAAAGTATGTTAAATTCTTTTATATGTTAATTCATTACATGAGAAAGTGGGCCTGGGATGGTGGGTTATAAACTTGTAATCATAGGCACTGAGGAGGTAGAGATGGAAAGATCATGGTTTACGGTCAACTGAGGAAACAAAAGTTTTTGAAATTGTATCTTAACCAATGACTATGTGTAGTGGCACAAATTTGTCATTCTAATGACAAAAAGGAAGGATAAATAGGAGGGTTGCAGTGCATAGTAGCCTGAGCATAAATGAAGCAGTATTTCAAAAGTAACCTATGCAACAAAGGACTGATGGAGGGAGCTGGTAGGGTACCTGATTATCTGAGGCTGTCAGTACTCCCTCCCTGAGCAAGAGAAAGTTGCCCGTGGACTTACTTACAAATTCTCTATTATTGCAAACATACAAAACTTCATTTTGATTTGGTTTTATTTTTATTATTCTTACTGTTTCAGAAAAATGCTTTGCAAGCAATTTCTCCAGCCACCATGGAAGTTCTTATGCGAATTTTGGCAGATTGTGATTCTTGGGAGGATAGCGATCCTGAAGAAGTGGGGAGGAAGGTAGAACTAACTCTGAAGTGCCTTACAGAAGTGGTACATATCCTTCTCACTAGCAGCTCTGACCAGCGTCAAGTGGAAACCAGTACTATTTTGGAGAACTATTTTAAGTTCCTCAATTCAGATCATTCTGCTTTACCTAATAAAAAGAGATCCAGACAGTGGGAAAGCCGGTTTATAGCTCTACAGATCAAAATGCTGAGTAAGTATCTGGTAAAAAGAATTTTCTCTGAGTCTATTTATTTATTTATTTGGTCAGTTGTGGGGCCTGAGCTCCAGGCCTGAATGCTGTCTCTGAGCTCTTTTTGCTTAAGGCTAGCGTTCTGTCACTTTGAGCTACAGCACTTTCAGTGTTTTGGAGGTTAATTAGAGATACAAATGTCACAGAGTTTCTTGCCCAGGCTGGCAAGATTGAGATCCTTAGATCTCAATCTCCTGAATAACTAGAATTACAGGTATGAGCCACTGAGGTAGTTGAGTGTGTGTGTGTGTGTGTGTGTGTGTGTGTGTGTGTGTGTGTGTGTG